TATCAATGTGAATGTTATCATGTCAATGTGAATATTTACATTATCAACGGGTCGGGCCGGCCACAGGCCGCGGACTAATTTTACACTCCTATCAATGTAAATGTTAACATGTCAACGGGCCGGGCCGGGCCGGGCTTATCCCGGGCCACGGGCAAGCTTCGGGCAGCGGACAAATTTTACACTCCTATCAATGTTAATGTTAACATGTCAATGTGAATATTCACATTGACATGTTAACATTCACATTGATAGGAGTGTAAAATTAGCCCGCGCCTCGTGGCTGCCCAAAACCCGCCTACGGCCCGTGGGCAGCCAGGGGCAAGCCCAGCCCAGCCTGTTAACAATGTGAATATTCACATTAACATGTTAACATTTACATTGATAAGAGTATAAAATTGGCCAGCGGCCCAGGGCGGGCCTGACCCGGCCTGTTGACAATGTGAATATTCACATTGACATGATAACATTCACATTGATAAGAGTGTAAAATTGGCCTGCAGCCTGTGGGCGGCCCGAAGCCTGACCGCAGCCCGATCCGTGACATTGTGAATATTCACATTGACATGTTAACATTAACATTGATAGGAGTGTAAAATTTGCCCGCTGTTCGAAGCTTACCTACGGCCCGGAGTAGGCCCGGCCTGGCCCGTTGACAATGTGAATATTCATATTGACATGTTAACATACACATTGATAGGAATGTAGAATTGGCCCGCGGCCCGTGGGCTGCCCGAAGCCTGCCCACGGCCCGGGGCAGGCTCGTTTGGGTCCGGGCCTGAGCCAGTAGGTCGAGCCTCGGGTCAGGCCGATGGGCCTTGGCCTAGCCTCAGGTTTGGGCGAACCTGGCCATTTTTTTTAAATTTTTTTAAATTTTTTCTACCAAAATTTTATTATTTTTCACAAAAAAAGACACTAGGCCTTGGCACGGGCCGAGCCTCGGACCGAGCTTGAATGGGCCTTAACCGGGCTGATGGGCCGGGCCGGGCTTCAAAGTGAGCCCAGGCCCTAGCCTAGGGTTTCGAACTAGGCTCGAGCTCGGGCTCAAACGAGCCTTTCCCGAGGCGCGGGCAGGCTTCGGGCAGCCTACGTTCTTTTTGACTACCATTTTCATCTACTTATATTCTATTTAGTCCACATTATTTTCTTATGTTTCAATAAGTCCTATGGGAGACATAATTACCAAAATACCCATAATGCGAATGTTCACATCGTCAATGTGAATGTTCATATCATCAATGCGTAGAGGCCCGGGCCGGCCCATATTGAGCCTCATGGGTATCTGAAAAAATCCGAGCCGGCCCAGCCCGGCCCACGGGCCAAAAAATTAGGCCCAGGCCCTAGCCCTGGCACAAAGGTATTCGGGCTTTGGACGGGCCGATGGATCGAGCCTCGGGTCGAACCGGTGGGCCTGGGCCTAGCCTCGAGCTTAGGTCGAGCTTGGGCGGGCCTGGCCATTTTTTTTAATTCTTATTAATTTTTTCTACCAAAATTTTATTATTTTTCACAAAAAAAACATTGCGCCTCGGGCGGGCTGGGTCTCGGACCGAGCCTTGAATGGGCCTTAAGTGGGCTGATGAGTCGGGCCAGGCTTCAAAGTGATGGCCTAGGCCCTAGCCTAGGGTCTCGGATATGCTCGGGCCCGGACCCAAACAAGCCTGTCCTGGGCCGTGGCAAGCTTCGGGTAGCCCACGGGCCGCGGGCCAATTCTACATTCTTATTAATGTGCATGTTAGCATGTCAATGTGAATATTCACATTGTCAACCGGCCGGGACGGGCCTACCCCGGCCACGGGCAAGCTTCGGGCAGCGGACAAATTTTACACTCCTATCAATGTTAATGTTAACATGTCAATGCGAATATTCACATTGTCACGGGTCGGACCAAGCCCGCCTCGGGCTACGATTGGGCTTCGGGCTGCCCACAGGCTGCGGGTCAATTTTACACTCTTATCAATGTGAATGTTAAAACGTCAATGTGAATATTCACATTGTCAACGGGCCGAGTCGGGCCCGCCCTGGGCTGCTGGTTAATTTTATACTTTTATCAATGTGAATGTCAACATGTCAATGTGAATATTCACATTGTCAACAGGCTGGGCCGGGCCCGTCCCGGGCCGCCCATGGGCCTGGGCGGGTTTCGGGCAGCCACGAGGCGCGGGCTAATTTTACACTCCTATCAATGTGAATGTTAACATGTCAATGTGAATATTCACATTGTCAACGGGCCGGGCCGGGCCCGCCCCGGGCAGCGGGCAGGCTTTTGGCCGCCTATGGGCCGCGGGCCAATTTTGTACTCTTATCAATGTGAATGTTAACATGTCAATATGAATATTCACATTGTCAATGGGCCCGCCCCCAGGCCACGGGCGGGTTTCACGCCTCCACGGGACGCGGGCCAATTTTACACTTCTATTAATGTGAATGTTAACATGTCAATGTAAATATTCACATTGTCAACGGGCCGGGCCCGCCCTGGCCCGACTCGAATTTTTTCGCTCACCCACGAGGATTGACATGGGCCGGGCCCCTACACATTGACAATATGAACAATCACATTGACGGTGTGAACATTCACATTAGGGGTATTTTGGTAATTATGTCACCCATAGGACTTATTGAAACATAAGAAAATAATGTGAACTAAATGGAATATAAGTAAATGAAAAGAGTATTTTGGTCTCCTTATCTCAAATAGGACCTAATGGAATAGTCAAAAAGAATATGGGTTGGATGGAATAAAACTTTTACAAAGTGGATTTATGAAAAAAGCTCCCTTTTTTTTTATAATAATACATGAAAAATATATAAAACAAATTAAATAAAAATGATAAAA